ACTGCCATGGTTACTGTTGTCAGGGCTACGAATACTGTTGTCATGGTTACACCCACCATGTCAGGGCTACAGCTAGCACTGCCATGGTTACTGTTGTCAGGGCTACGAATACTGTTGTCATGGTTACACCCACCATGTCAGGGCTACAGCTAGCACTGCTACGGATACTGTTGTCATGGTTACACCCACCATGTTAGGGCTACAGCTAGCACTGCCATGGTTACTGTTGTCAGGGATGCGGTTACTGTTGTCATGGTTACACCCACCATGTCAGGGCTACTGTACAGCTAGCACTGCCATGGTTTACTGTCGTCAGGGACGCAGTTACTGTTGTCATGGTTACACCCACCATGTCAGGGCTACAGCTAGCACTGCCATGGTTACTGTTGTCAGGGATGCGGTTACTGTTGTCATGGTTACACCCACCATGTCAGGGCTACAGCCAGCACTGCCATGGTTACTGTTGTCAGGGCTACAGATACTGTTGTTATGGTTACACCCACCATGTCAGGGCTACAGCTAGTACTGCCATGGTTACTGTTGTCAGGGCTACGGATACTGTTGTCATGGTTACACCTACCATGTGTTCGTCCATCTTCTCGAGCACCAGGTCCTGAAGCTGCAGCTGACCTATCCACTGACTACCGGCCAGCATGCTGCGACGCGAGAAGAGCGAAAAAATATAAACAACATAAAGATAAACAATAATAATAACGAATATAAATAATTAATAAATAATAAATAACATTATATTTATAATTATTATTATTACAATGATAAATGATGTTATATTTATAATTATTCGTATTATACAATTATAAATAATTTTACCTATTAATTAATTAATTAATTAATTAATTAATTATCGTGTACACTAATGGTTGCTGCCCGCGAATCACTACGTACATGGCCTGGGTGGGGTCTGGGGCCAGTATTCCACGCCTTAGTTTCTCATCTTCATAGTTGGCTAGTGCCTCCATCCTCTGCTGAATGTCCTGTAATGAAGGAGGGGGGGAAGGTCATGCACATAAGATGATAGCAGAGAGGAGGGGGAAGAAAAGATGGGGGAAGATAGAGAAGGGGTGAGAGAGAGGGAGGGGAGAGAGATATAGATGAAGAGAGACTGAGACAGCGAGAGATAAAAAAAGAGAGCACGGGCAAGAGAGAGAGAGAGAGAGAGAGACACACACACACAGAGAGAAAGAGAGAGAGAGGGAGAGAGAGAGGAGGAGAGAGGGAGAGAGGAGAGAGGAGCGAGAAGAGAGAGAGAGAGAGAGGAGAGAGAAAGAGAGAGCAGAGAGAGAGAGAGAGAGAAGAGAGAGAAGAGAGAGAGAGAGAGAGAGAGAGAGAGAGAGAGAGAGAGAGAGAGAGAGAGCGAGAAGAGAGAGAAGAGATAAAGAAAGAGAGCAGCGGGCACAGAGAGAGAGAGACACACACACACAGAGAAAGGAGACAGAGAGAGAGAGAGAGAGAGAGAGATAGAGAGAGAGAGAGAGAAAGAGAGAGAGGGAGAGAGAGAGAGAGGGAGAGCGGGGAAGAGAGCGGTACAGTGTGCATGCGTGCATACAGCGTGTGAGTGCATGCGTATGCGTGTGTGCGTGCATGTATTCGTGTGCGTGCATGTGTGCGTGCGCCTGCATGAGAGTGTGTACATGTGCAAGCATGCGTGCCTCTGTGCACAAGTGGGTGTGCGTATGTGCGTGTGCATGCGTTAGAGGGAGGGAAGGTCCCCACACTAGCTCCCATACCTGCATTATGGAGTAGTAGTTTGGCAAGCCGCTGTAGAAGAGATGGTGAAATGGACGGCCATCCACTGCAAACTGTGCAGCTGCAACAAACAAACAAACATCAACAAACAGACGTCAACAAACAAACATCAACAAACAGATGTCAACAGACAAACAGACGTCAACAGACAAACATCAACAAACAGATGTCGACAAAGAAACATCAACAAACAAACATCAACAAACAGACATCAACAAAAAAACATCAACAAACAAACATCAGCAATAGACATCAGTGATTAAACTACGTAAAAAAAACTCCGCGGTTGTCAAGGGAAAACGGACGAACGATACTGTCAACAGAATTACAGCAAAACTTTGTTGTCACTTCACAAACAAAACTAGACAGAGTGCACTCACGGAGAGTGCATACCTCGCCAGCAACATACAGCCAATACGACTCACAAACACACGAATAACCCACGATATACCCCAGCGTACTATCGTAGCTCTGATAGAAGTGAAGAGATTGCTTAAATGCTTATTAGTATAACACATATTAGTAGTAGTTATAACATAATAGCATAGTAAAGTAACTATGAGTACTAAAGTAACACTATAGTAGAACATTATCTATATTATGACAACTGATACGACATACGACTCACGAACACACGAATACCCACGATATACGCCAGCGTAAATCCATGCTCCCATGCAGCGTAGCTCCCATGTAACATGTATGTGTACGAGCTGGCTCGCTGGCTCGCTGCCTCGACGCGCTAATATCGATCGCGCGAACACACTAACACACGAACACACTAACACAACAAACACACGAGACCTATCACATAACCTCCTCCAACTCCGTTGGGCCGGAGGAAACAACAAATATCAATACATATGCTACTTCCACAGTGCTACGCTAGCAAAATCCTCTCACCATTCTAATCCCACAATGCCATGCTAGGGAAACTTTTTTACCGTTCTAATCCCACAACACTATTCTAGCAGAACCCTCTCATGATTCGACCTCCACAATGCTATGTTAGGAAAACCCTCTCACCGTTCTCATCCCACAATGCTACTCTAGCAAAATCCTTTCGCTTTTCTATTCCCAAAACACTATGTTAGCAAAACCCTCCTACACATCTACCTCCACAATGCTACGCTAGCAAAACACCCTCTAAGCTTTCTTCTTTCGCGAAGCAGTGCCAGAGAAAAGCTCTCTCACCTTTCTGTTTGGGAAAGATCTCTTCGGGTGCTTCATCATCGGCCGCGCCGCTTCTCGAACAGTCCCGACGGGAACAGGTACCGGATGGCTTCCTGTAATAGGAAGTCAGCACTGTGGTGCCATCTACCGAGGCGCGAGAGCAACTATCGAATGTGCGGGGGTTGACGCTCGGAGAAAGAAGCGGTGACAGAGATGCGTCGAATCGAACAAAACATTTAACTCCTGCACCTAATAATAATATTTAATAAACAAAATAATGATGATAAATATAATACCAATAAACATAACCTCTTAAATAACCGCGTAAATTATGCACCCGCAGTTTAGATGCGATATGATATGACTACTAGGCACTTAAAAAAAAAAAAACCTAACCTACCCTAACCTAACCTAACCTAAACCTTAACCTAAACCCTAACCCTAACCCTAAAAAAAAAAAATTAAATTAAATTAAAGTGCCTAGTAGTCATATCATATCGATCTAACTGCCGTTGCGTAAATTATAGTCTTCAAATTCCGAACGACTGTGTCGAAGACGGAAAGAGAGAAGTTGAATAAATAATAAACATTAAATAATAAATAATGGTAACAATGAATAATAAGACCGGGAGACTTACGTCGACGTCCGCTGCGTCATTCCGTCCGCGTCGAGTCCCATCATGTCGCCAGATGGCGCTTACCGATCTCGAAATCCTCGACCTGCTCCTTCATGAACTGTTCTGTAACATAGCATGGCATCGACGCGAATTGAGACACGATATATATATATATATATAATTTATATAGAGCGAGCGAGCGCAAGAGAAAGAAGAGAGAGAGAGAGAAGAGAGAGAGATCTGGCAAAGAAAGAGGAGAGAAGAGGAGGAGAGAGAGAGAGGAGAGACGAGAGAAGAGATCTAGAGAAGAAAAAAGAACAGAGAGAGAGAGAGAGAGAGATAAGGAAGAAAAAAGAAAGAAAGAGGGGAGGAGACTAGAAAAAAAGAGAAAAGAGACAGAGAGAGATAGAGAAAGAGAGAGACACAGAGAAAGAGAGAGAAAGAAAGAGAAGAGAGAGAGAGAGAGAGAGAAGAGATACAGAGAGAGAGAGCGAGAGAGAGAGAGAGATACAGAGAGAGAGAGCGAGAGAAATAGATAGATAGATAAGAATATAGAATACTTAATTACACCTGCGAGGGATGCGTACCATGCTTGGTGGCTCGTTCCAAGTAGGCCTTCATTGCCTTGCTGATCCGCTGACCTTTTGCACCTCCGCGCTTGCTAGTGGATCGCCCTCTTGCTGGCAATGCACTCGATTCCTTGGAGGGCGTGACTCCGCCCGCTGCCACGCCAAAGCTCCTCGAGGGTGTCTGCGATGTGTAATAATGTCGGCTAGTAGGTGATGAGGTTGCCAGGCCATATACACTACGCAACTCAGCATTTGGCAGGTTTTGTTCATCATAAATTCTAAAACTTCTGTGGACACTGTCAGATGATACACATCGTCGTAATTACACGTTGAAAAAGTAGACCCTAATGTGTTAATCATGTTGTCGTGCACGTAATTAAAAGCCATAATAAGTGCATTGATTATGCAATGTTGATGAATGGCAGTGCTATCTAGAGTAACTGGCACCTTGTGTAGTTATAATAAGTACATAACCTTATAGCCAAATGCGTATTAGTTTGTCCAATATCACTGCTGGTTACATTACAAACAAGACTTGAAATCGGTTGTTGATAAGTGTCAACGTGTCATTTTCATCCAGAAGTCAAGCGATGACTTAAACATTTGTGCGGCCCGTATGTTTTGGACGCCAGATGAAATGGAGGTGTCAGCGGTGTAACCACGGTCACGGACTAAACATGGAAATGAAGTAAAACACACGTACTAATCACGGACGCACGTGGACAGCCCTGACTAAAAGTTCCGACCTTATAACGAGCGTCCATGTTTACGAAATCACTGATGATAGCATTGCGTATGGCCGAGCATGCGTGGGAAAATGTCCGGTGCACTAGAAATCTGTATCACACCTGCTTCGCTGGCAGCAGTTTGAAACTGTAAACAATTAACTGCTTTTTGGACTGCGGATTTCAATTAGGCATTTCTTAGTAACCAGCAGTGACATTGGACAAATTAATACGCGTTTGGATGTAAGGTTATGTATTTGTTAACTACACAAGTGCAGTTACTCTAGCATTCGTCACATTGCATAAGCAATAGGCATATTATGCCTTTAGTTTTAAGAGATGTAGTACTAGTAGTATGCTACATTTACTCGAGTACCGGTATTGTATACGTGTATACGTTTACCTGCCACTTCTTCTATAGAATCTAACATAATTTGTTTTGTGGCAGTGTATAGTAACTTAGCATTATATTAAACTATTATATAGTAATTAGTATTACTATTACGTATTAGCAAAATACACGTAATCTAAATCTTACTGAGACTTGCCGACCAGGCTGTGCGACGGATTGTCGTATTCTAACCTTAGCAATGGGGCTACCGTTTCTTGGAGCTAACTGCATGAGACTCAGTCTCAGATCAACAGTATGTTTAAAAACATCCATCCGCTACCACCTTAAACTTTAATACTATACTATACTTATTTGCACACAACTGCACCGACTTACGTACCAGATCTAAACATCTTGACGTTCTTTTGGCAAAGTCACGCCAAAGTATCAGGAATATACCAGGTCTCGCGTTCATGGGCGCTGCCATGTTGCTCTAATCTTATGTATAGTGCTGCCCTCTTCTTGGCATTATTCCGCAGGAACTGAAATGTTCTAAAATAGTTGCTTTTCAATCGTCGAAGAAAGGAATTCAGGCATAAAGTAAGTTTGTGAATATTATATGTACACTCATGTGGATTCAATATTGCATAATAATTGATATTTTTATTCAAAAACTTTTCAGTAATGTACTAGGGACCTGTAAAACTCAAATTGTTCGTGTAACCTTCGATAGCTCAGTTGGTAGAGCGGAGGACTGTAGTGGCACAATTCAGTAATCCTTAGGTCGCTGGTTCAAATCCGGCTCGAAGGAGATTTTTTGCATGTCGTTTATAAATTGTATGAGTTATATTTTAAAGTATGAAAACTTATATATTTTCAGAAAATATCCATCTCAACATGTTTATTTTCATACGTTATGGTGGTAAGTTCCATACTATACATGTCTTTGCTATAATATTGGGTTTCTGATACACTAAATCTGTAATCTGTTTATGAATTAATTATGTAAAATTTACTTAATAACGTCAACTTAAAAATTACAGTATATTTCATGTTATTAAGAAATGTAGTACTGACTTGCAGGACTAAAAATGTCAAAATATTGTCAATTTTTATATTACAGATGACCAGCAACTGGCTGTGAATCCTTGCTGTGCAGCTATTAATTTCCTAAACTATATAAAGAATCAAGTAGGGCTATGTTCAGCAGGTAAGAGACCAAAGACATTAATATTACACTTTTTTTTTAATGTGGTCACCGCGTATTCAGATGCAGGCAAAGTGTGCATGCATGAGTAGCAGCGCAGTTATATGCGTAGGCTATATATAATAAGGCTGAGAGGGTCTGACTCTATGTCCCCCAGGGTACTGCCGGAACGTACCCTGGGTACTATCTAATATGCCGGACCGTACCTCGCCTACTCCACTAACGAGTAGGGATCGAGTCGCCTACGCCTATACTCCCTAACCCTAACCCTAACCATATCAGATAGTTACCAGGGTACGTTCCGGCAGTACCCTGGGGGACATATAAACCCTATCATCAGCTATAATAAGAGATAGTTTTATATTAGTAATGAATTCTTGGTGGATTTGTTTGTTTGATGATATTGCTCGTTGTTTACAAGCATATGTTGGTTTGCAGACAGCATAGACCTCTGTGACGAGGCTGGC